GGCGGGGACGGCGGCTGCGGCTGCACCGCCCTGGGGCCCGCGGCTTCCTTGTTCTGCCGGGGTCTCGCTGCGGTTCAGGCTGGCGTTGAGCTCGGTGTGCAGCCCAGGCTGGCCTCGGGTTGGAGGCCATCCTGCCTCAGCCTCTTGCTTCAGTGATAGCATTAAAAGCGTGTGTCGCCATGCCGGGCTGAGACCCATGTTTTTTCCTTCCTGTTGTGAAGGCTTTCATTTATTTCGAGTGAAATGAGACACATGAAGCGAGGTAATGTAAGAAATAATTTTAAAATTTAGTAACTGCGGACTCTGCCTTCAAGGTAAATGTTTCCTGGAAGCCCATTGTTTTCCAGTTGAGAAAAGTTCTGGTGGAAGTAGGCTGAGTCGCTCTGCCCGTTTCGCGCTTCCAGGTCTTCCCCTCGGTGGCTCCTGAGCTCCTTGCGAGCCTTAGCGCGTCAGTTTCGTACCCCGTAGTAAAGAAGGCGCTGGTGATTGTTCGCTGATTTTTCCCAGGGGCAGTGCCGGCAGCCGGATTCAAGTTTTCATTAGCTCAGGTGTAACTGAAATCATTGTCTGAAAGTTGTTAGGCGTCTGAAAGAGTGAGTCGGTTTGAGGCGCTATAACTTCTAAACAAATGAATATAATTAGAAAAAAATGAAATACGAAGGAACATTAAACGTACCAAATAAGAAAAATTATACAACAGGAATGAATATAATTAGAAAAAAATGAAATACGAAGGAACATTAAACGTACCAAACAACAAAAATTGTATTTTTAGATCTTAAGGCTTCTTTTCATTTAAAATAGGTAATACAAAATGAGCCGTGATTTGATTTGAGCCTACGGCGTGGTAAGGGTGTGCTCTACCAGTGAGTCACATTCCTCGCCCGTTGGTTTGAGACTTCTGTGGAATTTTCCTTTATGGTGTCATTCTTTTCCCTTTCTCTCCTTGACTTAGAATTTTATTACTTCTCTTTGATCATAACCTTTGTCCACTCTTCATTCAGCAACATGCATCAAATACTTACCGTGTGTCAGGCATTGTGTTAAGTTCTGGGGACACAAAAATGAATAAATAAATACGGAGTTCTTGCTCTCCAGGAACTTTCAATCTAATGTAGGACACATACGTAGTATCGTATGGTACACATAACGTAATAAATACAGGAATATATGACATGCTTTACATTGTCCCACTATTTACTTTTAGTTTTATTTTTACTATTATTATTTTATCTTTTTTTGAGACAGGGTTTTGCTATGCAGTTGAAGCTAGCCTTGAACTCCCAGTGATCCTCCTGCCTCAGCCTCCAGATTAGTTTTAAATTTTTTAACAGGCTCTCACTAGGTAGTTAAGGCTGTCCTTGACTTTGCTGTCTAGCCCAGGCACACCTTGAACTCCCAGCAATCCTCCTGGTTTAGCCTGAGTGCTGAGATTACAGGTGCAGTACCACGCCCAGCCGTCCTCCCTTTACTTAAAAACAGTCATCTTCCTGAAGAGATGAGAAGCACTTTGAGGTAGGAGCTTTCCCTATAAAGGCCAACACTCTCCTCTCCTTCCCTGAGTCCAGATTCCACTTACCAGCGGAAGTAATTACCTCTTAATGTACATGTGATGCGGTTGTTCACCAAAGGCATTTCCAAGGGGAAGGTACAACTTCCCAGTGGGAAGACTGAGTGCCTGGTATTAAAAGGGAAGATGTTATTGCTGTATTTTCTGTACCAGTTTTTCCAGTTAAACTGTATTGGTTCCTGAGTCATGTCCTGTCTCTTCTGTGCAGTAACTGCAGTTCATGTTTATCTTTTTCCTCCTTTTTTTGTTTTGTTTTTTTTGCAGTTTCTGGCTCTGTGGTGCATACCATTGATGGGGTTGTTTGCTATTTTCAGCAATTTTAGTATCTCTGTCTTTAAAGATACATCGCTTGTGCCTCACAAAGCTAGCTTTGAATTTTAGAATTCTGTTGTTTGTAGGAACCTAAGCCATTCGGTTTTGCCTGTGTTTCCCGCTTCCTTCTTCTCTAGGACGAAGTTTCACACTGAGTTACTAGCATCTTCGGTGGCTCCAGGTGTCATAAACATTGTGTCCACCTTGTAGGTATGATCAGTATTATTCCCACCTTCTAATGCTTAAGGGCAACGTTATTTTCTTAATGGATCTATAGCTGCCTGTGCCTGGAAGACAAGCACCTTTCTGTCCCTGTCACGCCTTGTGAAAGTCTTGGCTCTACAGTAGAGACTTGTCACCGCTGTCACTGTTCGTTTTGAGAAAGCCTCTAGTTACCTGTCCTTAAGGGATTCTGAAGATGGGGCATCCTGTGTGGTAGTTCCCATTGTGACTGTTAATGCACCCTCAGAGGATGTATTTAATAATTTTCACATTTAAAAAAAGAAGAAGCAAGCATGGGGCTGGGAATGTTGCTCAGTAGCTAGAACACTTGCCTGGCATAGTGAAGCCCCTACATTTAATCCCCAGCAGTGGAAAAAGCAAAACAATCAAAAAACCATAAAGGGAAATGGAGAATTTAAAATTTTTTAACACGGTCTCCTTATTTAATGGGCAGGTGGCTACATGACCTCTGCACGGGGGAATTATGTGCCCTGTGTATACACCTATGAAGTATCTTTTTTTGTGGGGGGGGGTCCCGGGGGATGGTGCCTTGTTTTGAACTCTGGGGCTCAAGGGATCCTCCCACCTCAGCCTCCCGAATGCTAGGATGGCTGCAAGTTGCATCTTTAAATACATTTAGTAAATGGATATCCTCTTTTTCAAAGTATATGTCTGTCTGTCTTTCTTTTTTCTTTTTTTTTTTTGACTTTTTGGGACAAGGTCTTGCTATGCAGTTCAGGCTGGCCTTGAGCTCACTTTGTAGCCCAGGCTGGTCTCAAATTTGCAATGATCCTCCTGCCTCAGCCTCCCGAGTGCTGGGATTACAGGCATGCACCCCCATGCCTGGCTTATTGTATTGTCTTTTGTTTTGAGGGTTTTTTTTTTTCTTTTTTTGGTACTGGGAATCAAACTCAGGACCTTGTGCTTGCCTGGCAGGCGCTTGTGCCCCTGAGCTGTATCCCCAGCCCTATATCTGTCTTTTGTTCATTTTCCTTTTTACTTAATTTTCACAGCTCTTTTAATCTGCTAGCCATTTTAATCTGAATTTTACAAGTGAGAGCCTGGGTTCAGATTGAGTCAAGTGACCCATCCAAAGCCCCTCTACACTAGTAGTTAAGATTCAGGGCTGGATGTAGAGAAGGCAGGTCTTTGGAGTTTAGTCGGTGGTGGGCGCACCGCTGGGAAGCTGGGACACACTGCACAGTGACTCCAGGGCCCTGTCGTCACTTGCCCGCCGGTCTGCTCCACTCCTCCCCCTGTGAGTTTCTGATGTGCCATGGCTGCTTTGGAGTCTTGTTCTTTCCTTTTCTCCAGCCCTTAGTGTCTTGCGTGCGGTGCGTTCGTGGCAGGCCTGCGGCAGTGGAAATCACGCTTCCTGAACGGGTGTGCGTAGCTCCGCTCTGTCGCGGGAGGCCGTGCTGGCAGTGAGCACACTTGTCCTGTGGAATTGGACGGGCCTCGGCCCTCACCTAACAGGGTTAGAGAGGGCATTTTGGCACGGTCAAGCAAGCGAATCTGTGGGGGCATAGTCTCCCTTTAGATCCCTTTTCCCGCCTTTTAAATAATGGTTTAAATAAAAGCTGATCCTGATGTCTTTTCTTCCCTGTTTTACTTCTGTCTGCCCCCTAGCCCCACGCTTGCAGCTCCTCAGATCCCCCACAAAAAGTGTTGGCTATGACAGAAGTGAAGAAAGAATGGTGGTCACTGTTCTGTGTTCTTCCACAATGAGATGTTCTGAAATACCTTGTGTTAGCATATGGCCTCGTCAGTGAAGTTAGTGTTGGCATTTTGCCTGATCCTTTGCTTGTAACAGTTGAACTTGATTGGCTCTATTCAGCATGTTTAAGACATTGACGTATAGGAAACTGAAAATGTTAAGCTGGCAAGTTTGAACAATTGCACTTAAGGGAGATAAATGCAGTGGTTTAAACTTTAGTACATGTCCTGATCCAGACTGTCCAGATTGAAGTCTGTTTTATTACTAATTGTGTGCCCTTGTTTTTGTTTTTTTATTTGCTTGGTACCAGGAATCGAACTCAGGACCTTGTGCTTGCCAGACAGGTGCTTGTGTCACTGAGCTGTATCTCCGGCCCTGTATGCCGTTGTGCTAGTTGCTTTTCTGTATATCCGTTTCCTCATCTGTGAAATAGGATCCTTCATTTGGTGAGGAATAAATGGTTTAGCATATGCAAAATACCAAGAAGCTATTATTTAACAGCTATTAATATTTTTAATTATGTGTGACTGAGTTCTGAGGTGCCTAACTAGTCTATCGTTTTTGAAAGTGTGCAGAGTATATTGATTGATTTACTTTGGGTTTTTAAGACAGTGTCTCACTTTGTAGTTCAGGCTTGCTTTGAACTCGCTTTAATCCTCCTGTCTCAGCCTCCCAAGTGCTGGGATTACAGGTGCATGCCACTAAGCTAGTCTTTGCACAGTGTATTTTAAAAGTAAACTAAAGAATTGCATCAACAAGAGCTGGGGATGTCGCTCAGTGGTGGAGTTCTTGCTTTCCATGTTCCCTGGGTTCAATCACTAGCACCATGAATGAATGAATGAATGAATAAATAAATATATGTATTAATAGCAGTGTGTCATTTGCCGGGCGTGGTGGTGCACGCCTGTAATCCCAGCACCCGGGAGGCTGAGACAGGAGGATCATTGTGAGTTCGAGACCAGCCTGGGCTACAAAGTGAGCTCAAGGCCAGCCTGAACTGCATAGCAAGACCCTGTCTCAAAAAGACAAAACAAAGAATTGCATCAGCGAAAGTTCACTTAAACAAATGAGAACATTAAATGAGGAGGAAGATTAAATGAGAAAATGTATGTTAAACCCAGGTACGTAGGGTGCTGTTTAATCTGTGTTATTGGAGGCAGAGAAGGAGGTGCAGTATCTATAAACTCTAAGGCTGAGGTATTGGACGTTTGGTATTCAGTATAGATTCAACTACATGAGAACTGTGTGGTCTAGAAACGTAATAGATGGATAATTTTAATAGTTTAAATGTGTATGATTTACTCATAAACCAGGAAAAATCAACTTTCTCACATTTTCAATAATTATTTAGTTTATAACGAGTTGGTGCAAAGAAAGGACGTGATTCTATTTTTAGTAAAAGCAGTCAGCTCTGGTTTTCTGTCAGGTTCCAAAATGAATT